CTTTGGGTCAAATATGGACTAACCCAACTTTTGGGTTAAAAATTTAATGTAAAAATTTAACCCAACGGTTGGGTTAGTCCATATTTGACCCAAAGTTGGGTTGAAACAACCCAGCATTTTTTAGAGTGTATTCAACCGTTCTCTGTTCTCACTTTTTCACCGAAATAGTGCTAATAGATCTATCTATCTATCTATCTATCTATCTATGAAAATGACAAAAACACACTACAAGAACATTACTTAAATTTTACAATTAAAATGAGAAATAAAAAAAATATATAAAATATTAATACAAATATAATAGTATGATACTCAATAGTACTTCAATATAAAAGACATCTGGCTATTTGAAGGATTTCATTTGTGCACAAGTTTATTTGAAAGCAACTGGACTTTCTTTTCCTTTTGCTGAAGACGTTTTTCCACTAGCTCCAGCAAATGGAAAGCAGAAAAATGCACAGTCCAATTGTCTGTGCATAAATTCTAGCAAACATACGTCTGCTTAAGTCCAGTGATCTGTTTTGTGAGTGCCTTTCCCTGTTGTTCTGGAGTGCTTGGAGGAAATCTGACAAATGTGTGTGTGTGAGTCTGGACAGAAGCGTCCTGTGCCGGTCCAGCATCCCTCTGATGCTGCCACCATCTGTCAAGGCTGTTTCTGATTGGCTGGAGGTTCAGAGGGTAGGAGCTCATGGAATGAGAGGACACCGGGGCAGAATATCGACTCTGAGCTGTAGTGTGTGGAGCAAAAGAGTGGGATGCTCGTCCAGTCGTGAGTTTTATAGAAGAACAGGGATGAAGTAAAAAAAGTCAAAGGCCACAGTAATCGCTTTATTGCTCTCACCTTGGCTGACAGGGCCAGAGCCGAACGTGTGACAGCTTTACAGCTTGATTTAAAACCTGATGAATCCACAGTGCCATCAATATCAAAGTCTGCACATGAGTTATACGTTTACAGTCTGAGGAGAAAGACTGTCTGTAAGATACAATTCTGGGTAGAAATGTAGTTCAAATGTATTGTTTATGTTTGAGTAAAGCTGTGTTTGCTGTGAGGCCAAGCATCAAAGGTTCTTAGGTACATATTTTGTCTGTTTTTTTTTAATGTTTTTGGCTGGAGTCCATGACAGCCCATAGAACCATATGGTAAAAAATTTGAAAATTTGGCGCACTGATTGGAGAGAGTGTGAACTTCAATTTGACCAAATGATTTGACCCTGACGTTAATGTTGTCCCACGTACAGACCATTTACTGCCTGGTATTGTTTAAAAAAATCTCATAGGTTGATATTATGAGCACTTGTGAAGAACAGTTTATACTGGGTTTGCCAAATTTTGATTGAAATACAGTACCATACCAGGGTTAGTAAGTTTTTTTTTAGTTTTTTTTTAAAGAAATTAATGTTTATTCAGTAAGGACGTGTTAGAATTAATCAAAAGTGACAGTCAAGACATTTATAATATTTTTTATTTAAAATAAATGCTGTTCTTTTGAACTTTCTTTTCATCAAAGAATCCTAAAATATATTCTAAAAATATATAGTTTTTTAAACTTTTTTGACCTAAAGTCATTCGCTATTAATTAATATTCATACAATATACATCTTCAAAAAGTCATCCTACTGCTTTTTTCTCCCCCTAAATTTGATACAAAGCTGCTCAAATTATTAAATAGGGCTGCATAATAACAATGGTAATGCATAATGGTTAAAATGATAGTCAAGGTTATTTTGCTCAGAAATTAATCTTGGTTAATAATCATGATTTATCATTTCTATTTATGTTTCATCAGAATTATTTCACTTTCTTGTAAGCATAAATCTAGAAAATGTCAACTCACATGAGAGTTATATTTTTCCTCATCCTGATTTACTGTATTTATGATACATTAACACACTCACATTATGCAAACTGGTAAAACTTCTCTCAAATGCAAAAACAGTACAATGTTAATTACAATTATTCCAAATTACAATGTTTTCATATTAAAACAACAAAAAAGACTATTCAGATCATCGGTGTGATTTTTATTATTTTTTTTATGTTTGTGAAAGGTTGCCAGGTTGAGAATATAAACTAAAACACTCGCCAGAAATATCTGTTTAAGGGTTAGTTAACCCCAAAACTGAAAATTCTGTCATTAATTACTCACCCTCATGTCGTTTCAAACCGTAAGACCTTCATTCATCTTCGGAACACAAATTAACATATTTTTGATGAAATCCACAAGCTTTCTGACCCTCCATAGACAGCAATGCAACTGAAACGTTTTATGGCCCAGAAAGGTGGTAAGGACATATTTAAAATAGTTCATATGACATCAGCGGTTCAACCGTAATGTTATGAAGCTACGATAATACTTTTTGTGTGAAAAAAAAAAAGAAAACGATTTTATTCAATGTTTTCTTTTCTTCCGGGTCAATCTCCGCTGCTGTTCACGAGAGTACCACGATGCATTGCGTTGCTGTCTATGCAGGGTCAGAAAACTAGGATTTCATCCAAAAACATCATAATTTGTGTTCTGAAGATGAACTAAATTCTTACGGGTTTGAAACGACATGAGGGTGAGTAATTAATGACAGAATTCTCATTTTTGGGTGAACTATCCCTTTAAGAGAAAAGCTCTGATTGCGGTATTTAGACATCTGGTAACTCAAAGCGTGAAAGCTTGACAAATATATATATATGTATAAATAGCCAGCCAGCCAGCCAGCATCAGAAGTCGTGATCACGATTAAAGTGCAATTTAAAATATATTTGAAACTGCAATCCATTTTCCTGTAGTGCATTGATGAATTTCACTGTGAAAATGCCAGACATGAAGTTACGTTGTTATCGTAATGTGGCAAAGCTTTTGCTTAATCAAATTAAACTTCCATTTATCCATTATGGAAGACAATTTTGTTCAAAGTGACCTATGAGGTATAGATTCTTTAAACTCTGTGGATGAATGTTTGGTACTAGCGCCACATACTGGTCAAATGTTGTAAATTCAGGTTAAATCTGCTTATAGACTTTGAACTAGCTGGAATAACAGCGTAGTTTTGTCTTGCATTTTTATTATTGACATGCAGTCCTCTCCTCCTCCTGTACCAGATGCGAGGTATGCTGTCCCCCCCTCCTACCGACACCAGCCCTCCTTCGCTGCTGCTCCCTCCTGCGAGCAACCCGACTGGAATCCTCGTCTGTGTGTGATCAGTGGAAATCAGCTCTACATGTTGGACCAGGAGGAGGTACTGGCAGCCCAATCATACATAATCAAGCACTTCCTTTCCAACATGTCCCTTTCTACAGTTTGTGTTCTGGGTGCTCATTTTACTGCCAGTTTACATGAGGGTCTTTATTTCAGACTTTCCATTGCTCCAAACATATTTTGTTTCTCTATATTCTTTAGTTGATTTGCATCAGCAGTCTGGGAGTGTTGTAACTCGTAAGTATTATGTTGGTGTGCATTTTAATCTTGGGCATTATTAGCAGTGAATTATCTGTAGTCTGATTAGACTGATAGATAATATCAGGTTTTATGTTTTCCATTTTAGACTGTTAATTTTTCTATGGCAGGTTACAAAAGTATATCAAATAATAGAAAAAAGATCTGCACACTGTTATTCTCCCTTTATTCAAAAAAGTTAAAAATAGCAACGTTCCGGTCAAACACCTTCGTCAGGCAAACACGGCTGGTTACAAAAGTATGGAATGGTTTTGATGTTATGATGTCTGATTTCACCCAAAGCCTGTAAAATTGTAGATTTTAGTTTTTTAATGATAAATAACTGTAAATTAATAAAAAAATAATTATTATTATAATAATTGCTATAATTGTTAAATACCTAATATAACAACAATATACAGAACAACGGCAACAATATATCTCATCAATAAATATTTTGTAATATATTTTTAGTAATAATAATTTTAATGTATATTATTAAAATTTAGATTTTATATATAAACTCATATACACATAAATAATAAATTATTAATGAGCTATATATTGTTTATATAACAATGTTTATATAAGCAACATATAGAAAAACGGCAACAAAAAATAAAAAATGTAAATCCCTGATAAATAATGTATTATTATTAGTAGTAGTAGTAGTAGTGGTAGTATTAATAGTAATAATAATATGATCATTTTTATTATTATCATTATTATTAGAATAATTTAATATTAATAATTTAATTGATTTTGATTTGTTACTGTTTAACTTCAGCAATTTTGTGTTCATGTAATTTTCATATAAAAACAATTTATAATTTGTAATAACACATTTTTTATTAATTTAATAAATAGATACATTAATTCATTAATCAATTAATTAAGTTTTCTAATAAGTTAATGATTAATTATGAATAAATCAATGTTTTTAAATAAATAATTGTATTAATAACTGTATATTTAGTGTATATATATATATGTATGTATGTATGTGTATA